GATTTTAGATTCAATGATTACGAGAATTGTGAGCATCAGAGCTGTATTCGTTATTTCTTTGAGCAGCTATGATCAAAAAGGAAGATTTTATTTACCGCCTTTGTTTGACTTTGACTTGTAGGCTAACAAAATTTGTTGGAAACAGAACCACTGAAAAAAGGTCATTTAAAGACTTTTTACTGCATCATCCAAACAATCCCATGAAGAAAAAGTGAGGGAGAATAGATTTACATACCGGGTTGATCCCTTTGCACTATCAATAACAGCTTCATGGCGGTGTCACTGGTTTTCGTTTTGATCCATTTCATGAAATCCTTAAAATTACGGTTTTAAGTAATGATGGTTGTCAACTTAGCATGGGCTGTTAAGTTAACACATATTGAATGAATATCAGCACAACTTTAACATCATTATGCTTAGCATACAAATATCTTTTGTATTCACAGGTTTGTTCCTTACGAATAAATACCTATTTATATATTACACATTTTACTAACCTTTGGAGCTTTCAACTTCAAATTCCAATATTCATTGTTCCTCTGGATGTCTTTTAGCATGTACATTCCTTTTGCTGGCACAAGGCCAGGAGGTCTGTTACCTGTGAAAAAAGTGTAATGTAACGCCGTAATGTGGCATGACGAAGGTCAAATTCCAATGATGTAATGAGAAATCAAAAATTACCACTAGATTCCATAATTCCTTTAAGAGAAAACGGTTTTAAATTCACCTCTATCGGCCAGATACTTTCGTAACGAAGAAGAGACTAAATAAAAGTTTTTTTAAAAAGTTTTTACAGATGAATGGTAAAAAGTTTACTTACCTCAAAAGCAATCCATGCGTAAGGGGAAATGACATCATAATAAAGATCAATCTTATATTTTTCAGAAATAGGAGACATTTCTGGTTGACTTTGGAAGTAAGTGAGGTTTGATTGTGTTGCTCGTTGATTCGTAACCGATAAGATAAACTTCCCCGTTCAGCTATACTCTAGTATGAAGGGGCTTGCAGTATCGACCTACAATCGAAAATA